GAGTATGTATTTTCCCATTTAGACTGGGGCTGCATTTGCCTCTGCACGCAGTACTTCAAGCATGAAATGCACTTCCTGATAACCTTAGGTAAGCCATGAACTATAAATGTGGTATTTAGAGCTGTTCAAAAATTGTGAAAGTTTTCAGTAAAATCTGTTGAAAATATCTCGTTTTCTCAAAATATTGACAGCAATTGATAAGATTCTTATCAAGTCTTTTTCAATGGTTAACATGAACTCCAAACATCCCTGTACTACAGCAATGCACCTGCATCTAAATGACTAGTTACAAATAGCATACTAATTATCTTTGAGGAGAGAGAGCGTATGAATAAAAGAAAGGAGATGTATAAGGCAGAAAATGAAAAGAGGAATGATTCAGACCATTTCTGCCCCAAGACCCCAGGGGCTGTTTATACATACAAGCAGGTTTGCTTCAAGACTCTTTATATTAAAACATTTTTGCCCTTACATGATTTTCCTTAATGTTGAATAAGAGTAAGTACCTGTCACAAGACATAGTATTTTCAGATTTTTTTTCTAGCTATATTTAATGCATTGCTATGCTTCAGTATGATGCAACCAACCCCTACAAGCAGGTTTTCTGTTTTATTGATCTATAAGGATGACGAATGTTACAATTTATTTCCGCCCCACCCCCCAAATGGTTTGATACTCATTTAATTTCCTGCAAAACATTTGCAGAGGAAACATGACACGGGTCATCCCACAGAAACCTTTTAAATGCTTCCAGACTCTTCTGTGCATCACATCACAATGGATTTTCTGTTGTGCTCATTCTTTACTTTCCCCAGCAGTAGCAGAGTCACTGAAACTAATTTTTAAATTCATAGAACAAATATTCACAGTATTCAAGTCACTTGCTTACACTACACTTAACCCAGAGGAAGAGGAAAGGCAGATTTCTGTTGCTCTACCAAAATTCAAGAGGGGAATCATAAGCTATCTCCAGCTTTATACCAGTCTAAGCATCTCTTCACACAGCATCATATCAAGAAGCAAAGCCCCAGCTCTCAGCAGCCCAGTCTCCTTAAGAATTCATGGCCTGAATCTGCTTAAGAGCAGTTCTTCATGAATCTTCCTGTGATGCTCAAAACAAACAGCAGCAGGCTGCTCAGCACTCACAACTGCAGCACCAGCTCCCAGCAGCTCCTGGTGAAGAACTGGAAGCAACCTGCTAAATATCCCCAGCAGGAACACAGAGCTCATGGGTCAGAACACCAACACCTGTGACACCCCAGGTGCCTTGGGGACAGCTGAAAGGAAAAATATATCCACATGGTTCAGCAATGCTCGGTGCTAAGTCTACAGATCTGTGTGTACAAAGGTGCAAAAAGCAACAGCCAGCCACTCAAAAGCTGAAGCAATGCATATAGCTTTACCAGACACCTAGAGGCAATTTTTCTTCTGTGTTTTTCTCATTTCTGTAATATCCTAAGTAGGAATTAAAATTGCTTACTTTGGCTTTCCTTATACCTATTGGGAAGCTTTCATAGCTGAAAGGGATTTTGGAGAAACAAAACAGCAACAGACACGGCTACCACCTTATAAATGTACCTGCTGCAATCCACAGACCTGAGGACAAATGCCAGCACAGTCCACCAAGATGCTAGTTTACACTGGTAATATAGTCCCAGATACAGTGCAGAGCTATGAGCATGCCTTTCCTTCCTGAAAAAGGGCCACCATTTACAAGAAATATGAGCAGAAATTTCAAATACTGGAACTAGGCACTCAGATTAGCTCCTGAAGCCATTAAACATGCATGATACAAGAGCCTATGTCACTGGTATTAAGAAACATCTGTGTGGAAAACCAGTGTGACAGTGTATTTTTTCGAATCTTGGCAGAAAGAAATTCTTTAGGATGTAGGCATCTGTCTATATATCTGTTTCAGTATGCCAGGGTCAAATTGATGAAGTTATGACTTTAAACTAAAGTTACGCTACAAAAAGTGCTGACAGTAAAATAAGAAAAACCCTGAACACCTCTCAGTGAACCCAGCCATTTTCTCCAGCTTCACAATTTTTTCTCTAAATTGTTTTGTTGTTGTTTTTTAATTCACTTTTATGTTTAAACAGGAAAAACATTGGTTTCCACAAATACATTTGATCCCAAAAGATAAATATACAAAGATCAAAACTCATCACCGACGTAACAAATGTAAAATGCAAATGAAAATGCCTGTGAGACAACCCTATTTTACCTACTTAACCACATATCTCCAGTGTTTTCACTGCACAATCACAAATATGCAGTCACAAGACTGAGCAACTGAGAACAATTCACAGCAAATCTCCTCACTTGAGCATTTAATCATTCAATGGAGTCCAGTCATAGAATATTTTGTTTCTGCCACATAAAACTGAGCTTCTAACAAAAACTGTGGTTGTGCTGACAGTGAAAAATCTCTTCTTTAAAATGGAGGCTGAAATTTACTGTTTACACTTGCAAACTTATTACCAAAAATTATCACTTAAGGTGTGCTTGAGCATAAGAAAATGTCTGCTGCCTTCATTAGGTCCAGTTAAAACTTCTCTATTTACAAATAGACCCCTGTTGCTTCTCCAGCTCCGACTGCATTTGAAGGGATAGTAATGTTCCCATCTCCCACTCCATCAAAAAATTAATAAATAATGGACAAGCAGCCACAAAATGCAAAGACAATTCTGCCTACGGTTCTAGTGATATAAACCACAGAAACAAAGCCCTGATAGCATCTTTATAGGTAAGAGTATCTCAGTACTTTTGAGATAAAATCTGATGTATAGTTTGGCCATCCTAAACCACAGGAGGCTCCAATTTCTAAAGGACTGGCTAGATGTAAATCCTTACACACAAAAGAGCAAAGAATAGATCAGATTGTTTGGAACCAAGTGGAGAACAAAGAATACAGAGCTATTTCAAGGATACAGGCTTTGGATAGAAGGAAAAGCTGCTTCCTTTGGCTGCATACTTTCTGAAAAACGAGTTTTACTAAAAAAACAGAAACGACAGTTGTTCTGTGCAATTATGTCCACACACAATTCTCAGCAGATGGTCAAGGCATCTGTACTGTTTAAAACTTGCTTCACAATTTTAACAGGTTCACTTGATGGATCTGCATTCTTTCATCTCCTTTGGCATATTAATTTTGTCACTCCCAGCAATGATTTTACTCAGCACTTCATATACATGCCACAACTTGACAGCTATACAATCCACTTTTACTAAAGGCAAAATTAAATGCCCTTTTGCCCCAGTGTACTAAATGAAGTCTGTCTTGCCTGAGACTATAAGAATATTTTTTTTTTCCTCCAGGAAAGCAATCTCAAAACTGACTACTTTTTCTTATTTTAAAAAGACCTTATTTATATTACTTGAGTTAAGAAACACTTTCCTTTGGTAAGGCAAGTTGATGAGACCAGTGTTGGTGGTTGTCTGGTATGCTGTCTCACAAGGCTTCATCTTACCCTTTGGTTTCTTGAGCATGTAGGTTCCAGGGGGGACCTTTATAACACCCAATAAAAACAGACCAAGTTCTTAGCAGAATATGATTATGAAGTTCAGCAGTGTCAGTGGTGCAGAAGAAAACAGTATTTCTAGCTCAAGGATAGTTAAAGGATTGTATATTTAATGGGCTACAAAATTCCAGTGATACTTGTGGCTCATTCTGTATTAGAAAGGATGCTCTTGCAGAGGACATCTTCTCAAAGTAACTATTAATACATACCCCCTGTGGCAAGCAAGTATCTCAGTTTATTGTATAGCAGCAGGTAAAGCATCATCTCACATGGTCTCTCATTAGGCTCACAGTATTTTGAGATAAAGTTAATGTGGAACTGAAAGCTGTGGACTATCATTCTTTGAAACAACAAAAAAATGTCATTTATATGATAGATATATGAAAAGTAAATGCATAATCAAGAAAACATCTACTGCTCTATCTTAGAACTCTTCAACAGCACTTTTTAAAAGATGCAATTCAGGCCCTATTAAATGTAACAGATTTCCTTTGACCTCAGCAAATTTTGAAACAGACTTTTAAATTAAATTCTGGCCCCTTTCAATAGTGTGGGAGTGATTGAGGGCCTGAGGGGAAAACAAAAACAACAACAACAAAAGCCAAAACAAAACCAACCAAGAACAAAGCAACAACAAAAAAAGACCTGACAATCACCTAACTCAACCTTAGTCTACTTTGGAATTCCCTTTGCCATTGAGGAAATTCCTTTTCCATTTGCACTTCTCATCTGTGTGTTCAATGCCCTGTGAAACTGTGTGAATATAGAAACATTGCACCCCATTCCTTCCCAGTTGCAAAGAGCCACCACTGAAACAGAGAGCAGCCTCACAGAGAACATCCAACCAGCACAAGGAGCATGTGAGTTATACTTTACTTTGGGGAAGGGGAAAGAGGTAACATTAAGCCACTTCCTGCAAGTCAGAGGCAATTGTACAATGTAATATCCTCACTAAAATAGTGATTAAACAACCCAGTGCTCCACTGTCACAACTGTAAAGTTACACACTCCCATGTTAGCAGTGGCACGGCTCAGCAGCTGTACTGATTTAGTAGCATTGTAAGCACTGTTTGCAGGCTTAAGTGACACTATAAATAGTGAGGCAGTGAAAAGCCAAAGCCAACAAGCCTATATGAGGAGTCCGGCCTACTTGGGCAGGAAGACAAATTTACTTATTACTTAAGGAACTCATATTATACACTCAGTTTTGTAGCTCTCTCATTCAAATTTTTTTTTTTTTTAACTGTAAATATGATGCTATACTTCAGAAAAAAATACAGGCAAACAGCTTGCAAAAGCCACAGTTACTGAATAAAACACTAAGTACTTCTAGTCTGAGAAACTTCTTGAGGGGGTGGGACTTACTTGATTAACATCATATTAAACATTCCTATTTAGAAACTAAAACACTATATTAGATCTAGCTGGCACAATAAAAATTCAGGTTCTATTTATATTTAGTTGCAAATTACTAACCTCCAGTCAAGGTGACTTTGCTATTCTTTGTTACTCTGCTTTACCATAGCTGCAGAGATTTTTATCACTCTGAGTTTTGAAGCCCACAGAAGGTTGCAGTGAGTTTCTGTATGACAAGCTCCCATTCAGTCCCACTAGGTTTTCTGCAACATTTTCTAAAAAAAAGAAGAAAAAAAAAATCTGATTTTAATTATGAAACAAAGAAATGGACCACATGCTCTACAATAATATATATCTCTGATCAAATTTTCTGTCAGAGGAAACTCAGTGGCAACAAAGCATTGGTTTGGACTCATCTGCAGAACACAGCGAGGATTACACAGAGATGAAATGTACTCTTGGGTCACAGAAGTTTTTGACATACTTTGATTCTTCTACATCTCCAACTAAAAAAAATATTGTTTATTTAAACTCTAATGATACATTGAATTAATCTTTCAAAAATGCCTTCTGCACACTCTTTTGTAAGGTTGTAGAAAGTCAAACATGGCCTAGAACTTGCCCAATGCTGATAGATATTTACTATGCAAATTACTACTAGCTAATTAGGAACATACTGGGCTAACATAAGCATATGGATAAACTGTTGTATCATTAGAATTTAAGCAAAACGAACAATTTGAGCATTACTTCACCACCTAGGACCTACTTCATTTCCCAACAACAGAACAAGGGCAGGAGAATGAAAAATTCTTCAATAAATATGATCATGGAAAAAGAAGGATGACAAAATGAGCATGGAGAACTTCATTATAGTCAAAGCTCGCCACGCAGTCTTGACAGCTTTCTACTAGTGAGAATTTACTATTAAATAATGGATTAATTCCATGCATAATGTGTATATTAGCTTACATTTGCTTTAAAATCCTTCCTACTTTCCACAGACCAGTCAGGGAGAGCATTTAATTGAAAACAACCCCAGTCTGTCAATTACCTGCATCCAATGGGACTATACTTCATTACCATTCTGACTGCAATTCCATGTTGACATACATTACTCACACAGTTACATTTCAATGCAAACATCTATGCATTACTCAGAAGTTATTTGTAATATCTTACTCATTTTACACTGAGAACACATACACTTTTGCCTAGGGAAAGAAAAGACAGCGCTACTCTTTTAATAATAGATTTGGAAACCTGAATTCAGGACTTCCTTGCATACAGTAATGTGGGAGATGCAGTAAAAGAGCATTCCTTCCAGACAATGGAAGTGAGATAATACATAATCACATAACGCACTTGATTCCTCACCATATTCAGATCCTATCAAACTGGACTTTGAAAACAAACATTTGTTTTCCTTCAGCTTCCAAGAAGCCCTAAGAAGCCCATACGTCTTGTGCAACTTTTTCTGATCCAATGCCAACCTGAGCCATAAAAACAGAAATAGAATTCTTCTTCTCTATGTTCCCATGGAGACAGGTGGGACCAAAGGGAGCACGAGAAGACAAAATACATCCTTCCACAGGTCTGCCTCCAATTGAGGACTTCTGGAAGTCCAGGTGACACAGACTTCTGCATAACTTATAAAAATAGGACTACATATTTAATACTCTTTCCTCTGCAAGGGCTGGAAAAAAATAAAGAAAAAAAAAAAAAGACTAGCACCTCTATCAAGTTCATTAGTAACTGCAATTCTGCTGCATTTACCAGCAGGCTGGACAGCTGGCTTCAGGACTGACTTTCCAGATTTCTCTTAGGTACTAAGAGAATTAACCCACAGAGCATTAACCCACAGAGCTCATTGGTTTTGGTTTTCCTCCTTGTATGGAGGGCTCCTGTTTTCCTTTTTCATTTGTACCTTTATTTGTACCCTTCAGCTCACAACCTGGTTTCTCTCTCAAGAAATGAAGCTAAAACCTTCTTCACAAGTCGGTCTGTCCCACTACTTGTGAGGGAAGATGTAACTGTGAGCAAGTCAGCAAAGAGTTTATCAGACTCCTTGATAAGACCCTATCACTGTGAAACCTTGGGAGTTTGGAGTGTTAAGACAGAGAGCAAATGGTATCTGTTTGCATCTGAGGGTAAACAGGAGGTTCTGTTTGTATGCATTGTTAATCTTATCACACTTAAGAAACCTTTCATCCTTTATCACTGTGTTTTGGGTGAAACTGGGCCAATGAACTGATTAGAGGGACAGGAATTCCTGGCTTGTAAGTGAATGGTATATAAGATGTATGTTGACCACAATAAAGCAGAACTATTCTGATGCTACAAGAAACTGTGAGAGCTCTCTGACTCGACTGAGCACCGACAATTGGCACCCAAACAGGGACGTGAAGCTGGGACTGACTTGAAGACTGATAGGTCTGGAGGGCGCTGAGAAAAGCACGGAACACACTGAGAAAAGTGTGGCAGACACTGAGAAAAGCGTGGGTGCACTGAGAGAAGCGCCACAACCTGAGGATTCATCGTCTCCAACAGCTCTGATTGCCTTTCTCCAGACGAAGGTAGGCCATTGCGTTACCATGGGGAATAATATGACCTCACAACAAAAGAATGTCCTAGTTACTTTTCAAATTATTCTTAAAAACTGGGAAAAGAGATCTAGGAAACTGGATATACCAGTGTTAGCATGGGAAGCCTTGGAAGGAAGGAGCTGAGAGCAGGGCTCTATGACCCGGAGATGTCCTCAGGAAGAGCTGAGAGGTGGGGCTTTCATGGTCCAGAAGGGTTCTGCCCTCATTGAACAGAAAAGCAGTGCGTGAAAAAAAGTGGTACTGGATTTGGTAACAGCTGCAGTAACAGTTAAGGGTGGAGAAAATTAAGCTAAGGAAGGAATTACAGCAAAGTGTGGAATTTGTAAAAGCTGAAGAAACTAATTTGGTGTTCTTACTCCAGTAAGTGATGAATTTGTAACCATAAGGGAAACCACTGGCAAAAGTGAGGAGGTTTACTTTGTTAAACATTTACAATTTAGTATAGGCAAACAGTTAGGCATACACAAATTTTTGTACATGCCAAATTCATCAACACCTTTATTAGGGCAAGATTTACTAAAACAACTGCAAACTGAAATAAAGTTTAAAGGAAAATTAGAATTTAAGGTAAAAAAGGAACAGTTAATAAAGGTGCTTAGTTTAGCATTAATCATTACCCCTGCTGGGACCAGAACACAGACGAAGTAAGGGATCAAGTTTATCCTGGGATGTGGGTAGTAGAATCCCCAGGTAGGGCTGAGAATGCAGCACCAATAGCATTAAGAATAAAGCATGGAGCTCAGCTGGTTTGGATTAAACAGTACTCTCTCAAATTCAAAGAGATGATGACATGATAGCTACCAAAACAAAGGAGGTAATGCATAACATGGACAATTAGCTTACTAAACTTTCTCAGACTTAATGGCTATCGAGTTTCTCCACAGAAAACCCAAGTGGCACAGCCACAACTAACCCATTTGCATTATGGAATTGCTGCAGGATCCCAAACCTTAGGAAACAGCAAGGAAGAAAACAATCTGCCAGACTCTGGAACCTCAAACAGCTAAGGAGCTCCAGAATTTCCTAGTAATAAGGAGGTGGTGCCACCTACAACTACGGAATATTGGTAAAACCCCTCTATGCCCTTTTGAAATCCTGTCCAAAGATCCTCATACAGGTTGAGGAAGACAAGTAAGTTTTAACTGTGGCAATTAGACACAGACTCTGTTGTTAGTGCAGAACAAAAACCTTCTATTGTGGGTGATGAAGTTGAACAATGTGCACTTGGTCAAGTGCCTTATTAAATGTGACTCTCTTGCCACGTTTGGCAGTGCTGGATCTTCCCTACTGCCCTGAAGTAGATGGCGCTGGAGCTGGGCTCATCCCTTTGGTGCCATCCTGCAGCACCCAGTCTGTGTTGTTGTGAATGCTGGATTGAGGCACCAGCTCTGTCAAGTCCATTGTACCTCACTGGCATCTCCCAGTAGAGGGGACCAAGGTTGTAGACTGTCAAATACTTGCGTGTCAGTCACAAAGAACTTCTGGCCATTAGTGTCCTGCTGCCAGTATATGCAGCAATGCCGCACTTTCTCACAGTGCCAGAAGGACAGAACATAGTCCCCAACGTAAGTCCCACACTCCCTGATGAGGAAGGAGCCATCAGGGGCCTCCATCTCCGCACAGTACTCCATCAGCAGCCACTCAGCAACGTGCCGCCCACCGCGCCCTGCCCCCAGCGCGCCGTGGAGCCATTCCTGTGTGAGATGCAGCCCGATGTTGGCGCTCACCTCCTTCTGTGCAGGTCGTCTCCCCCGGCTGTTCACGACTGGGACAACGTACATCGGGTTCCACGCATAAGTGATGGGATCTTCTGTCAATTGGCAATCCGCCATCTGCTCCTTTGTCATACACGAACCCATGGTTCCTTTCCACTCAACTCTGCCAAGCCGCCTCAGTTTTGGCGGGGTTGGCCAATGGTCTTCATAGCACGTGCGCACACTCATGCCAGGTGTACAAGCTAGACGTCTCGTGATCATGTCGAGAGGGTCTGTCCGGCATGAATAATTACAATCTTTTGTTTTTTCTGCCTTCATGTCTGCTGAACTTGTTCATGCCTCCAAAGATCTTTTGCTAGTCCAAGCAAAAATGTCTTTATTTCCTCCCGATAATATACCTGTTAAAGGAATTGAAGTAAGGGACTTGGACAAATTAAATGAGGGGACATGAAAAGTATATAGAAACAGGGATTGTAATGAAAGAAAGAAGTTGGGAAGAACAGTAGCAGTTGCACTAGAGCAGGACCTTGAAGGACCCAGGATGAGTTTTGCCCCCAGTGGACTGAATGCAGTGTGCACACAGCAGGGTAAAGACAATTCAGCTTGAGTTAGCCTTGGCAAACCATCAGGAATACTCAAAAGTCCCACAGAACACCAGAAGTTTTCCTTCATTTTCAATGTTTGGATTGATTCAGAAGATCCTTATACACATACAGGAAACCACCACATGCCTTGAACAATTTTATCACACGTCACACGTTTTAAAAAAGTCTACTGACAAAATTATTGCAATTTAATCCTGAATTTGCAAGAAATGAGTTATACGCCAAGAAATTTGAAACAAATAATTCACTCATTAACAGTGTGTAAGTGCACAAAACCACCAGAATCCAGACAAGAATGGTTTAAAACCTGCCATAGTAACTGCATAAAAGCCAGCCATCAAACCCCATT